TATATACATGTAAAACAGAATGGGAAGAGGAAGGTGATACCAAAGCCCTTTGGTGAGCATCACTTAGAGTCACTTCAAGTATTTGTATTTGAAACACATAAACACTGTCCTGGAGTAGCTCCACCATGTAGAGAACAAGTCACAGGGGGAAACACACATGTAGTATCAGGTCATGCCCTGCTTTGCTATTATTGTCCAAAAAAAAAGATAAAATTCTAAACATGCTTTTGACTTTATGTTCTCAGGTTGGACCTGAGCATGCATTTTGCTTTCTAATTGTTAATGATATGCTCCACGTGCCTCACTCCTTTTCCCAGAATAATAATGGTCCCAGGAAGAGTCACATTTCTGTAATTTCTAGATGCTACATTCTCTTCCCACTGCATTACATGTAATCAAATGAGAAGTAACAGTCCTGATTATCCCTTCCTGTCTTAGTCTCAAATGAGCTACTTTTTCTGGCATTGCTAAGTTCTGATCTTGGCACCTGCTGCAGAGATATATCTACATATGCATTAGTGCACAAGCATACATTTGCACATGCTATTCGATGTATATACAGATTGTTGTGATAGAAAATGTGGCCTACGCAGCCTGTATTCAATCCCAACCTGCTCTGTCTATATCAGACATAAAAAAAACAAACAAAAGAAGTTAACATGCTCAGATCTGATTGCAAAGCACAAACAATATGAAATATAAAGGCAGTATTTCCTCTACAAAATCCACCAGACCTATAGAACTGTTTGCCAAAGAAAATTGCCTAAAATGAACCCCAGACATAGAATTTAAAAGAACACTCATAAATTTCATTTAAAAAAATCAAGGAGTGATTAGAAAGATGACTCAGTGTTTAAGAATATGGTTGCTGTGTACTTATAGAGATCTTGAGTTCAGTTCCCAGCAGTTACATGGTGGCTTACAACTATCTATAATGGGATCTGATGCAGACAAAAAATACTTGTATACATAAAATATATCAACAAAAAAATCAAGTTTGAAAAAGCCTGATGAACTTAAAGAGAAGAAAAAAATCCAACACCTATATGATGCCCAAGAAAACCCAAGCAGCAGGCCAGTAAAAATGATAAATACAATATAGGGTTTGAAAATATAATTCAATCAGGAGACAGAAACACTGAAGAGTAACTAAGAAGAAATGAAGGTGGAATTGAAAAGCCCAAAATTTCAAGTAGAAAACTCAAGGGAAAGTCTGACAAACAGATGAACAAAGCAGAAAATAGAATGACAGGACACAAAGATACAGTAGAGGATCAACACAAAATAAGCAATAAA